CTGTATCGATAATCAAAGATAGCCAAATAAGAAAGCGACCATCAAAGGCACAGCGTGAGCATACAGACCGAGCGCCATCAGAAGAAGAGAGACAGGGAATACGCTAACAAGATCAAGTGATAAAGTGGCGAACAACAATAAGCGATGTGCGAAATAATAAGGGTCACTTATGCGACCCATCTGCCATCCTCTCCTAATTTTATGCATCTCACTCACTCATACTTCAACTATTCACTCCCCCCCCCTAGCTCGCTCTACCTCGATCGCAGATATCAAAGTCCGTAACAATAGACGATTCATGTACTATATAATCTTAAATCCAGTCCACGCAGTCGACAAGTTCTCAACTCTAGAGGAAGAGTAAGAATGAGAACTGCAGGTGGGCATGTGTGGGCTTACGCCACACACATCTCCCTTTCCAAGGCAAGGAGGCAAGTTCTCATTCTTACTCTAGAGGAGGCACAGCTAAAGAATGAGAACTGCATGTTAGACACCTGTCCGGGCCGCATTTCTTGATTGGAGGCATGTGCAGCCACTTTATGGGCTTCACACCAAACACACATGCACTCCTCCAAGGCAATAAGGAGAAGGAGAAACGGAGGAGAAAAGAAGGAGTGAGAAAGGTAAAGAAGGCAAGGACAGTTCTCATTCTTACTCTAGAGGAAGAGTAAGAATGAGAACTGCAGGTGGGCATGTGCACTTTCTGGGCTTTCACGCCACACACACATGCACTCTCTTTCCAAGGCAAGGAGGCAAGTTCTCATTCTTACTCTAGAGGAAGAGTAAGAATGAGAACTGCAGGTGGGCATGTGCACTTTCTGGGCTTTCATGCCACACACACATGCACTCTCTTTCCAAGACACGGAGGCAAGTTCTCATTCTTACTCTAGAGCAGTGGTTCTCAACCTGGGGGTCGGGACCCCTGTGGGGATCTTGAGGGGAGTGTCAGAGTGCCAAAGACCATCAGAAAACACAGTATTTTCTGTTGGTCATGGGGGTTCTGTGTGGGAAGTTTGGCCCAATTCTATCGTTTCGTCCAGATCCATCATTGTTTGAGTTTTGCTCATTGATTGTTCTTTGATTGTAGGTGAACTATAAATCTCAGAGCCCTCGGTGGAGCAGTGGGTTAAACTGCTGAGCTGCTAAAACTTGTTGACTGAAAGGTGATAGGTTCAAATCCGGGGAGTGGCATGAGCTTCCGCTGTCAGCCTCAGCTTCTGCCAACCTAGCAGTTTGTAAACATGCAAATGTGAGTAGATCACTAGGTACTGCTCCAGCAGGAAGGTAATGGTGTGCCTTGCAGTCATGCTGGCCATATGATCTTGGAGGTGTCTACTGAAAATGCCGGCTCTTCGGCTTAGAAATGGAGATGAGTCCCAACCCGCAGAGTCGGACACGACTGGACTTAATGTCAGGGAAAAACCTTTACCTTTACTTATAAATCCCAGCAACTACAACTCCCAAATGTCAAGGTCTATTTTCCCCAAAACCTATCAGCATTCAAGTTTGAGTGTATCTGGTATTTGTGCCAAATTTGGTACAGTAATGAAAATACATCCTGCATATCAGATATTTACATTACGATTCACAACAGTAGCAAAATGACAGATATGAAGTAGCAACTAAAATAATGTTATGGTTGGGGGTCACCACACCATGAGGAACTGTATTAAGGGGTCGTGGCATGAGGAAGGTTGAGAATCACTGCTCTAGAGGAGGCACTTGGCTGCAGGTGGGCATGTGCACTTTCTGGGCCTTCATGCCACACACATACACATACACACTTTTTTCCATGGCAAGGAGGCAAGTTCTCATTCTTACTCTAGAGGAGGCACTCGGCATCAAGCAGACATGCACACTTTCTGGGCCTTCATGCCACACATACAAACACACATGCACTCTTTTTCCAAGGCAAGGAGGCAAGTTCTCATTCTTACTCTAGAGGAGGCACTTGGCTGCAGGCAGACATGCTCCCTTTCTGGACCTGCATGCCACACACACACACTCTTTTTCCAAGGCAAGGAGGCAAGTTCTCATTCTTACTCTAGAGGAGGCACTTGGCTGCATGCAGACATGCTCACTTTCTGGGCCTGCACGCCACACATACTTTCCAATGCAAGGAAGCAAGTTTACTCTAGAGGAGGTGCTCAGCTGCAGGCAAAACCAGGCTTTCTGGGTCTGTACATTACACACATACACACACACAATTTCCAAGGCAAGGAGGATGCTCACAAAAAGCAGGGAAGGAGCCAGGATTGAAACACATATACTTTTTCCAAGGCAAGTTCTAATTCTTACTCTAGAGGAGGCACTTGGCTGCAGGTGAGCATGTGCACTTTCTGGGCCTTCATGCCACACACACACACACACACACTTTTTTCCATGGCAAGGAGGCAAGTTTTCATTCTTACTCTAGAGGAGGCACTCGGCAGCAACCAGACACGCACACTTTCTGGGCCTTCATGACACACACACACTCTTTTCCCAAGGCAAGGAGGCAAGTTCTCATTTTTACTCTAGAGGAGGCACTTGGCTGCATGCAGACATGCTCACTTTCTGGGCCTGCACGCCACACATACTTTCCAATGCAAGGAAGCAAGTTTACTCTAGAGGAGGTGCTCAGCTGCAGGCAAAACCAGGCTTTCTGGGTCTGTACATTACACACATACACACACACAATTTCCAAGGCAAGGAGGATGCTCACAAAAAGCAGGGAAGGAGCCAGGATTGAAACACATATACTTTTTCCAAGGCAAGTTCTAATTCTTACTCTAGAGGAGGCACTTGGCTGCAGGTGAGCATGTGCACTTTCTGGGCCTTCATGCCACACACACACACACACACACTTTTTTCCATGGCAAGGAGGCAAGTTTTCATTCTTACTCTAGAGGAGGCACTCGGCAGCAACCAGACACGCACACTTTCTGGGCCTTCATGACACACACACACTCTTTTCCCAAGGCAAGGAGGCAAGTTCTCATTTTTACTCTAGAGGAGGCACTTGGCTGCATGCAGACATGCTCACTTTCTGGGCCTGCACGCCACACATACTTTCCAATGCAAGGAAGCAAGTTTACTCTAGAGGAGGTGCTCAGTTGCAGGCAAGACTGGTCTTTCTGGGCCTGTACATTATACACACACATACACACTTTCCGAGGCAAGGAGGCTGCTCACAAAAAGCAGGCAAGAAGCCGGAATTGACTAATGCTAGCTTTCATGTTGAGCTGATTTTTGTACCAGGAATGGGCTTCCCGTTTCGTGCTCCCAAAGGTGCCGGAAGTAGCATCGGTAGTGAAGGAAACGGGATCCGCACAGAACTCTAATAATTTGGTGCGGCATCAGTGCTCTTTGAAAGAGAAGGCTAAAGACTTCCAAATCAGTTCAGTCACCGGATTTTAGTCTGAACTTTTAAGAGTCCTGTGCTGGACCTATTTCGACAGCTTGGATCATTATTTATAGTTTATTTAATTAATGTATATCCCGCCTTTCTCCCAGCAAAGAACCCACGAGTCATTAAAAGAAAGCACAGCTTAATAAAAGAATCCCCATTAATACAACACTTCGTTATAAAAGAATAGAACGAGCAGTTCTGTTAAAAACATGAAGTGGAAACAGTATAAAGCACCTTTAATATATAATAAAAATATATATAAACACACAGCAAAAGATAATATTTGGACTAAAACCCGGAACAGATTCAACACCCCAAATGTAGGTGCCCTCAACATTTGTATCAAATGGCTAGGGGTCTTATTACTCAGATAACCAATGGTGAGGAATGCTGGGATTTGTAGTCCAGCTATATCTGGAGGATCACATCTCTCGGGTGGAAAATCGTAATCTTCTATTTCTCGTTTTGTTTCTTACCAGAAAGAATAATGAACAATTGAGAGTTCTGCATAGTTTTGCATTGCTTTGTCCTATTAATTGCATATAATAAATGTAAATTTATAAAAATATTGTGTTGTAAAACAACCTTCAAGTTATTGTCGAAGGCTTTCATGGCCGGAATCACTGGGTTGTTGTAGGTTTTTTCGGGCTATATGGCCATGGTCTAGAGGCATTCTCTCCTGACGTTTCGCCTGCATCTATGGCAAGCATCCTCAGAGGTAGTGAGGTCTGTTGGAACTAGGAAAAGGGTTTATATATCTGTGGAATGACCAGGATGGGACAAAGGACTCTTGTCTGTTGGAGCTAGGTGTGAATGTTTCAACTGACCACCTTGATTAGCATTTGATGGCCTGGCAGTGCCTGGGGCAATCTTTTGTTGAGAGGTGATTAGCTGCCCCTGATTGTTTACTCTCTCTTGTTGTGCTGTTGGTTCATCAGGTGCTCTGCTATGGCTGACTTCTCTGGTTGAAGTAGTCTAGGTGTTGTATGCTAATCAAGGTGATCAGTTGAAACATTCACACCTAGCTCCAGCAGACAAGAGTCCTTTGTCCCACCCTGGTCATTCCACAGATATATAAACCCTTTTTCCTAGTTCCAACAGACCTCACTACCTCTGAGGATGCTTGCCATAGATGCAGGCTAAACGTCAGGAGAGAATGCCTCTAGACCATGGTCATATAGCCCGAAAAAACCTACAACAACCCAACCTTCAAGTTGTGTGACGAAGGTGTTTAGGGCTGCGTCCGCACTGTAAAATTAATGCAGTTTGACACCACTTTAAGTGTCATGGCTCCATGCTATGGATTCCTGGGAGCTGTCATGTGGAGTAAGGTATCAAAACACATTGATGGAGAAGGAACAAGCCCTTGCCAAGCTACAACTCCCAGAAATACATAGCATTGAGCAATGAAAGTGATGTCCAACCGCATTCACTCGATGATGAGTGTAGATGCATCCTATGAGAAATGAATTCAGGAAGATGGACACTCCTGCCAATGAGCCATATCAGTTTCCATGTCTAAACACCAGAAGAAGGAGCATTCTGCATTGGAGGAGACGGAGTGATTTGCAACTCAGGACGTGTTGGGTTGGGCTTCAAGCGTCCATATCTGGAGGGCTTCTCCTTGGGTCTCGGCTACTCCTGGGATGTGTCCCTCTTGCTCTAAAGGGGAGGCTCATTGCAAAGGAGTGCGGCAAGGCAAGTGGAGGCCGGCTTCTTCACTTGGGCAAGGGGGCGATGATGACGTTCCGGTAGCCCTTCACCCCTTTCAGCTTGTCGCTTTCGAAGTCCACCACCAGCTTCCGCAAACCGGACTGCCGGGGAACGAAGTCCACCCTCACTTTGGCTTCTTCGCCTGGACTGATTGGGGAGTCGCTGCGGAGAGACAGGAGAAAGTCATTGTTCTACTCCGGAAACTTTGTTTTCGTGGTTGCCACAAATTAGGTTGACTAGGTTGAGACTTTATGAGATATTCATTGAAACACTAAAGCAAAATGTGCTAGAGCAGGATGTCCTTCCCACAAAGACAAAGTTTTTGCAGTTAATGAACCTTTTCCATGTTTTATGATAGAACCAATTAGGTAGACTAGGATGCAATGGCTTCAAACTACAAGAAAGGAGATTCCATCTGAACATGAGGAAGAACTTCCTGACTGTGAGAGCCGTTCAGCAGTGGAACTCTCTGCCCCTGAGTGTGGTGGAGGCTCCTTCTTTGGAAGCTTTTAAACAGAGGCTGGATGGCCATCTGTCAGGGGTGATTTGAATGCAACATTCCTGCTTCTTGGCAGAATGGGGTTGGACTGGATGGCCCATGAGGTCTTTTCCAACTCTTTGATTCTAGGATTCCAGGAAACAGCATTTATATAACTCAGGAACAAAAATAAAATAGTATGATCAGATATGCAAAAATTAAATCCAAAATTTGAAGGGTCCTCTGTACGAATTACAAATCCCCGACTGCATCACTTGGAGCCCTGGCAAGGAAACTACAATCCTCGTGCAACCTGAAAGCACTGTTTAAGAAGAGAAGAGAAGGGAAGAGAAGAGAAGACACCTACATCTCCTGGATCTTCTGTCCATCTGTGAGTCCAGCCCCTTCCACGGTGAAGACGCAGCCAGAGAGAGGGGTGGGCAGTGGGTTGGTCAGTGTCAATTCAGCCACCAGCTTCCGCTTCTGCATCGGCTCCCCCAGGACCTGTGTTTGCAAGGGAGAAGTTGCAATGAGGGCAAAAGAACCTGGAAGAACTTTGGACAAAGTACTTTGGTCATCCCTCCTTGTTTACAGGGATTAAAGGCTCAGGACGTGTATGAATGTGCTTCCCAAACACTGGCGCCACAGAAGTTCATGGGATCACCATTAGTTGCCACAAGGTCCACCTATTCTGTCCCCCAAGCTAATTCTTGAAGGTGTTCTAGCTCGGCCTGTCATTGAACATCGAGGAAACCAAAGTGCTCTTTCCAGCAGACACCAGCCAACCCCTCTCCAATGCCAGTGATACAGCTTAACGGTGTAACATTAGAAAATGTTGACCATTTCCGCTACCTTGGCAGCCACCTCTCCACCAAAGTCAACATTGACACCGAAATACAACACCGCCTGAGCTCTGCGAGTGCAGCATTTTTCCAAATGAAGCAGAGAGTGTTTGAGGACCGGGACATCCGTAGGGATACCAAGGTGCTTGTTTATAAAGCTATTGTCCTCCCAACCCTGCTATATGCCTGTGAGACGTGGACTGTCTACAGACGTCACATGCAACTCCTGGAACGATTCCATCAGCACTGCCTCAGGAAAATCCTGCTGCGTCCGGAAAATCCTGCAAATCTCTTGGGAAGACAGGCGGACAAACGTCAGCGTGCTGAAAGAAGCAAAGACCACCAGCACTGAAGCAATGGTCCTCCACCACAACTCTGCTGGACCGGCCACGTTGTCCAGATGCCCGACCACCGTCTCCCAAAGCAGTTGCTCTACTCTGAACTCAAGAATGGAAAACGGAATGTTGGTGGACAAGAAAAGAGATTTAAAGATGGGCTCAAAGCCAACCTTAAAAACTCTGGCATAGACACTGAGAACTGGGAAGCCCTGGCCCTTGACCGCTCCAGCTGGAGGTCAGCTGTGACCAGCAGTGCTGCAGAATTTGAGGAGGCACGAGTGGAGGAAGCGTGCCAAGAGGAAGGCGCATCAAGCCAACCCCGACCGAGACCGCCTTCCACCTGGAAACCAATGCCCTCACTGCGGAAGAAGATGCAGAGCAAGAATAGGGCTCCACAGCCACATACGGACCCACAAGAATATTGGAAGACAATCATCCTCAGAAAACGAGGGATCGCCTAAGTAAAGTAAGTAAGGAAAAATTATTCTACTAGCTGTACCCGCCACACGTTGCTGTGGCCAAACTTCCCTCCCTCTTTCTTTGCTTCCTTCTCTCTTTCCTTCCTTCCTTCCCTTCCTTCCTTCCTCCTTCTCTTTTTCTTTCCTTTCATTCTTTCCTTCCTTCCTTCTCTCTTCCCTTCCTTCTCCTTCTCTCCCTCTTTTCCCCACTTTTTTTGGTATACCTGGGGTTAGTAGAAGATGTCTGACTCTCTACCGTCCGGAATGCAATTCAATTTGTGATCCAGTTCCCTTCCGTAGATTAAGTCTTGACTTCTCTAACGATGTCTGCTCCAGGGCTTCCTTTCCCTTCTTCTTTCTCTTCCCTTCTTTCTCCTTCCTTCTTTCCTTCTTTCTCTCCTTCCCTCTTCTTCTTTCCCTTCTTTCTCTCCTTTCTTTTCTTTCTTTCTTTCTTTCTTTCTTTCTTTCTTTCCTTCCTTTCTTTCTTTCTTTCTTTCTCTCCTTCCCCCCCTTCCTCCCCTTCCTCCTGTATCGTAATTTAGCTTTTCATCATTTAGCTTTTTTTGGTTTTTAAGTCTCTTCCACTTTTTTTTGGGGGGGGGGGGGAGTTAATGAGCGATGGTCACTCATTGGTCTGTTAGGGGTATAGTGTCCAAATTTTGTGGCAATTCGTCCAGTGGTTTTTGAGTTCTGTTAATCCCACAGACATATATACACACACACACACACACACACACACACACACACACACACACACATATATATATATATATATATATATATACACACACTAGCTGTGCCCTGCCACGCGTTGCTGTGGCCTATAGTAAAACTTATCAAAGTTGAGGTAGATATCTGGACTATTATGTGTGTGCAGCGGCGGGGGGAATGATGGAGCCTGGGGTTGTGTGTGTGTGCGGCGGCGGGGGAGTGGGGTTGCGTGTGTGTGTGCGGCGGCGGGGGAGTGATGGAGCGTGGGGTTGCGTGTGTGTGTGCGGCGGCGGGGGGAGTGATGGAGCATGGGGTTGCGTGTGTGTGCGGCGGCGGGGGGAGTGGGGTTGCGTGTGTGTGTGCGGCGGCGGGGGGAGTGATGGAGCGTGGGGTTGCGTGTGTGTGTGCGGCGGGGGGGGCTGTGTGTGTGTGGCGGGGAATGATGGAGCCTGGGGTTGCGTGTGTGTGTGCGGCGGTGGGGGAGGGGGGGGTTGCGTGTGTGTGTGTGGGCGGGGGGGAGTGGGTTGCGTGTGTGTGTGCGGCGGCGGGGGGAGTGATGGAGCGTGGGGTTGCGTGTGTGTGTGCGGCGGCGGGGGGGGGTGATGGAGCGTGGGGTTGTGTGTGTGCGGCGGTGGGGGGAGTGAGGTTGCGTGTGTGTGGCGGCAGAGGGAGTGATGGAGCGTGGGGTTGCGTGTGTGTGTGCGGCGGCGGGGGGAGTGATGGAGCGTGGGGTTGCGTGTGTGTGTGTGGCGGCGGGGGGGGAGTGATGGAGCGTGGGGTTGCGTGTGTGTGCGGCGGGGGGGAGTGGGGAGGGGTTGTGTGTGTGTGCGGCGGCGGGGGGAGTGATGGAGCGTGGGGATGTGTGTGCGGCGGCAGGGGAAGTGATGGAGCGTGGGGTTGCGTGTGTGTGTGCGGTGGCGGGGGGAGTGATGGAGTGTGGGGGGGGTGTGTGTGTGCGGGAAGCGGCGCGGCGGGGCTTGGAGTGGGCATGGCTTCTGCAGAGGGAACGTTGGCCGGAAGGCTGTGTGCGCACGCCAGGGAACTTGCGGCTGGGCACCAATGCGCATGCTCAGTTGTTTTGCCGTTTTGTGAGTGTGTTGTTGTGTTGTTTTTCATTTTGAGTAGATATGTTTGTACCTTGTGGGTTGTGTTATGGGCATGGGAATTTTGGTTAAGTTTCGTTGGGGGGTTTTTGAGTTTTGTTGTTTTGCCGTTTTGTGAGTGTGTTGTTGTGTTGTTTTTCATTTTGAGTAGATATGTTTGTACCTTGTGGGTTGTGTTATGGGCATGGGAATTTTGGTTAAGTTTCGTTGGGGGGTTGTGGAGTTTTGCTGTCCCGTTGAACCAACCTAACAGATTTATATATATATAGAGAGAGAGAGAGAGAGAGAGAGATCGCTTACAATCAAAGAGCATTCTGAACTCCACCAACAATGGAATTGAACCAAATTTGACACACAGAACCCCCATGATCAACAGAAACCACTAGAAAGGTTTGGTGGGCATTGACCTTGAGTTTTGGAGTTGTAGTTCACCTACATCTGGAGAGACTGTGGACTCAAACAAGGATGGATCTAGACCAAACTTGGCACAAAAACTCCATATGTCCAAATATGAACACACATGGAGTTTGGGGGGAAAGACCTTGACATTTGGGAGTTGTAGTTACTGGGATTTATAGTTCACCTACAATCAAAGAGCATTCTGAACTCCACCAACAATGGAATTGAACCAAATTTGACACACAGAACCCCCATGATCAACAGAAACCACTAGAAAGGTTTGGTGGGCATTGACCTTGAGTTTTGGAGTTGTAGTTCACCTACATCTGGAGAGACTGTGGACTCAAACAAGGATGGATCTAGACCAAACTTGGCACAAAAACTCCATATGTCCAAATATGAACACACATGGAGTTTGGGGGGAAAGACCTTGACATTTGGGAGTTGTAGTTACTGGGATTTATAGTTCACCTACAATCAAAGAGCATTCTGAACTCCACCAACATGATGGAATTGAACCAAACTTGGCACACAGAACTCCCATGACAACAGAAAAGACTGGAAAGGTTTGGTGGGCATTGACCTTGAGTTTTGGAGTTGTAGTTCACCTACATCTGGAGAGACTGTGGACTCAAACAAGGATGGATCTAGACCAAACTTGGCACAAAAACTCCATATGTCCAAATATGAACACACATGGAGTTTGGGGGGAAAGACCTTGACATTTGGGAGTTGTAGTTACTGGGATTTATAGTTCACCTACAATCAAAGAGCATTCTGAACTCCACCAACAATGGAATTGAACCAAATTTGACACACAGAACCCCCATGATCAACAGAAACCACTAGAAAGGTTTGGTGGGCATTGACCTTGAGTTTTGGAATTGTAGTTCACCTACATCTGGAGAGACGGTGGACTCAAACAAGGATGGATCTAGACCAAACTTGGCACAAATACTCCATATGTCCAAATATGAACACACATGGAGTTTGGGGGGAAAGACCTTGACATTTGGGAGTTGTAGTTACTGGGATTTATAGTTCACCTACAATCAAAGAGCATTCTGAACTCCACCAACAATGGAATTGAACCAAATTTGACACACAGAACCCCCATGATCAACAGAAACCACTAGAAAGGTTTGGTGGGCATTGACCTTGAGTTTTGGAATTGTAGTTCACCTACATCTGGAGAGACTGTGGACTCAAACAAGGATGGATCTAGACCAAACTTGGCACAAATACTCCATATGTCCAAATATGAACACACATGGAGTTTGGGGGGAAAGACCTTGACATTTGGGAGTTGTAGTTACTGGGATTTATAGTTCACCTACAATCAAAGAGTATTGTGAACCCCACCAATGATAGAATTGGGCCAAACTTCCCCCACAGAATCCCCATGAACAAACTGGAATGTGTCCAGAGGAGGGGGAGAAATATGATCAAGGGTCTGGAGAACAAGCCCTATGAGGAACGGCTTAAAGAGCTGGGCATGTTTACCCTGAAGAGACGGCTGAGAAAAGACATGATAGCCATGTATAAGTATGTGAGAGGAAGTCCTAGGGAGGAGAGAGCAAGCTTGTTTTCTGCTTCCCTGGAGACCAGGATGCAGAACAATGGCTTCCAACTACAAGAAAGGAGATTCCATGTGAATATTAGGAAGAACTTCTGACTGTGAGAGCTGTTCAGCAGTGGAACTCTCTGTCCTGGAGTGTGGTGGAGGCTCCTTCTTTGGAGGCTTTGAAACAGAGCCTGGATGGCCATCTGTCGGGGGTGCTTTGAATGCAATTTTCCTGCTTCTTGGCTGATTGGGGTTGGACTGGATGGCCCATGAGGTCTCTTCCAAATCTACGATTCTATGATTCTATGAACCCTCTTAGGATGAGCAAGACCTCGGGGTGATCCTTACCCTGACTTTGATATCCGGGTTCTTGACGTAGATGTTCCGGACCCCGAGGACTGATTCCTGGGTGTCGAGGTCCACAAGGAGGGCCATCACCTTGATCATGTTGTCCTGAGTCAAGCAGTGGCCGTACTTCTCATAGAGGATGCGCAAAGGAATGGTCCGCTCTGGAAAAAAGAGAAAACCAGGTCAGGAGGGTGGACAGTGGTGTTGCAACTCAGGGTAGCTTTCACCTTGCTCCAGACACCACCACACCAAAGCTGTAGGTTTTGTAGTTTATTGAGAAAAAGGCAAAATCAAAACAAAGTATAAGAAATGCAAAGTTCCATAGGCAGGACAAAGGCTTAAATGCAAAGACAAAGTTCCCAAGATCCAAAGGCAAAAACATGAAGCATAATCCTTTGGCAATGGTCAAACAAGAGTCCATGGAAAACAGTTGAAAACAAGGCCCAAATCCCAGCCTCAGGAAGCTAGAAGCGTGTTGCTAAAAGCCAAAGTTAATCCACAGACATTTGCATGGAAAGAGCTATGTTGAACTGACAACCCCTGCTTGTCAGCTACAAGGCTAAATACCCTTTGTAGACATGAACACATTGCGCTGACCTTTGGCACCCTTGGCTTCTCGCTTGCTAGCCAAGCGAATGCTTCTCCGGAGCCTTAATTGCAGACAATCTTGTCTGCTCATTAATTCATTATCTTCAAGGCTCTGCAACCCCTTTTCTTGGTCCAGCTGGACCGGATCACTGTGGGAAGGCAAAGATGTCTCCACCTGGCCGTGTGGGATTTCACTCTCGTTATCAGTCTCACTAACATTCCTTTCCTGGGGAACTGACTTGCGGATTCTCCTTCAGTAGCCCCACCGTCAGCCCTGTCTGAAGCATGTACAGAAATCTGTAACCCATCAGCCTCCTCATCATCCTGTAGGAATTCTGGCTCAGAAGGCCCACAGAACTCAGCTTCAGACTCAGAGTCAAGCTGAGTCACAACAAGTGGCAACGGAGGACTTCCAAAGCTAGATATTAGGCCTGGGTAACAACGGAAAAATTTGTTTCTAAAATCGATTTGTATTTGGGGGGTTTTTTTGTTTCGATATTTAAAATAATTACAAATTTTCCTTTTAAAAAGTTCGATATTTACGAAATTTCGTAAATGGTAAAAAATTAACGAATCGATTTCCGAAACAATAACGAATCGATTCGTTAATGGCGGACGCGACCGCGAAATACGCTAAAAAAGCTCCAAAACCTTCTGAAGCTTCCCTCTCCCTCTGTTGTTGACTGTTGGTGTGATATTATAATTTTTTTTCACTAATTAAACCATAAAACTGGCCCAGACATGCGGAAATAATAACGAAACGACCTCAAAACAATAAGGAAACGAATACAATATCGAAATACGAAGCATTTACAAAACGTTTTTGAAAATTCGTTTTTTTTAATAATTGCTCCAGAATGGTTCGTTATCGTTTTGTAAATGAAAAAATTAACGAATTATTAACGAATTACGAATTAACGAAACGAAACCGCCCAGCCCTACTAGATATCCCAACTTATCTGCAATCGTAGAAGCAGATAAGAAATGGGAAAGCCCATTAACATTTTAATATATTAATGTTTGATGGTTTTAATGACACAATTATTGTTTTATTCACATTTTTACAATTATATTTTAATGCATTTACATTGTTTAATTTCAAAAGTAAAATAATAATTTCAAGAGAAACATAAAAAAGAATAAATAAAATAAAATAAGAAAGGAGATTCCATCTGAACATCAGGAAGAACTTCCTGACTGTGAGAGCTGTTCAGCAGTGGAACTCTCTGCCCCGGAGTGTGGTGGAGGCTCCTTCTTTGGAAGCTTTTAAACAGAGGCTGGATGGCCATCTGTCGGGGGTGCTTTGAATGCAATATTCCTGCTTCTTGGCAGAATGGGGTTGGACTGGATGGCCCAGGAGGTCTCTTCCAATTCTTTGTTGTTTATTAGTTCAGTCGTCTCCGACTCTTCGTGACCTCATGGACCAGCCCACGCCAGAGCTCCCTGTCGGCCGTCACCACCCCCAGCTCCTTCAAGGTCAGCTTCCAACTCTAGGATTCTATGATTCTAAGTTTAGTTGTCCTACATGAATTTCCCGCTCAAAACATATTTTCTACTCACGAAAAGCAGGGTTTTAAAACATGTTTATGTTCTTTAATGCTTGGAAATTGAGCATAAAACTGCACACTCTTGCAAAGGAGGGAGAAACGCCCTACCATTATTCATAGAATCATAGAATCAAAGAGTTGGAAGAGACCTCCTGGGCCATTCCAGTCCAACCCCATTCTGCCAAGAAGCAGGAATATTGCATTCAAATCACCCCTGACAGATGGCCATCCAGCCTCTGTTTAAAAGCTTCCAAAGAAGGAGCCTCCACCACACTCCGGGGCAGAGAGTTCCACTGCTGAACGGCTCTCACAGTCAGGAAGTTCTTCCTCATGTTCAGATGGAATCTCCTCTCTTGTAGTTTGAAGCCATTCTTCCATTGCGTCCTAGTCTCCAAGGAAGCAGAAAACAAGCTTGCTTCCTCCTCCCTGTGGCTTCCTCTCACATATTTATACATGGCTATCATATCTCCTCTCAGCCTTCTCTTCTTCAGGCTAAACATGCCCAGCTCCTTAAGCCGCTCCTCATAGGGCTTGTTCTCCAGACCCTTGATCATTTTAGTCGCCTTCCTTTGGACACATTCCAGCTTGTCAATATCTCCCTTCAATTGTGGTGCCCAGAATTGGACACAATATTCCAGATGTGGTTTAACCTAGGCGGAATAGAGCATGGGGAGCATGACTTCCCTAGCTCTATTGTGCTACACAGTGCACAATATAATACATGTTGCTATATCATTATTATAATAAATATAATAATAATAATAATAATAATAATAATAATAAGGAAGTGTTCAACTTGTGATTTTGTGATACAAAATCCAGCATATATATCTCATTTGCTGTGACATACTGTGTTTTTGTGTAAGTAAATAATAATAATAATAATAATAGTAATAATTCAAACCACTGTAGAATCACAAGAATGTACAATACCTGCCAGTGACCTGGTGCCATTGTTCAATGCACAGTTGTGCATTGTATTGTACTCTGTGTATTTTAATGCTTAGTTGATCATTGCAATACACAGTGTGCAATACAATGCATGTTGCTATATCATTTTATCCATGGATTCCACATCTATGGATACAACCATTCATGGCTTCAAAATATTCCAAAAGCAAAAATCCCAAAAGCAAACCTTGATTTTGCAATTGGGTCCCATCCATGTCAACATTGTTATCCATGAATCATAGAATCAAAGAGTTGGAAGAGACCTCATGGGCCATCCAGTCCAACCCCATTCTGCCAAGAAGCAGGAATATTGCATTCAAATCACCCCTGACAGATGGCCATCCAGCCTCTGTTTAAAAGCTTCCAAAGAAGGAGCCTCCACCACACTCTGGTGCAGAGAGTTCCACTGCTGAACGGCTCTTGACTGACTTGGATGACTGCATACAAGGCACCAGTTTGCTACACTATTGGATATAATTAGTTGTCCAAAGAGTTGTAGTTTAAAGCCTTTGTGAAATATGTAAAACTATGTATTTCCCAAAGGGGGCTGGTGATTCAGCAAATTACAAATCCCACGATTCCATAGATATGGCATCAAACTGCATTCATCCCTCAGTGTGGATGTACCACAAAAGAAGCGGAATCACTGGGTTGTTGTAGGTTTTTCTGGGCTATATGGCCATGTTCTAGAGGCATTTTCTCCTGACCTTTCGCCTACATCTATGGCAAGCATCCTCAGAGGTAGTGAGGTCTGTTGGAAGTAGGAAGCAGGCGAAACGTCAGGAGAAAATACCTCTAGAACATGGCCATATAACCCGGAAAAACCTACAACAACCCAGTGATTCCGGCCATGAAAGCCTTCGACAATAAGATACATGTCTTCTCTTTCCTTCTTTCCCTCTTTTCTTCGTGCCATGCATGCCTCTCCTCATACAGACCTGGCATGGATTTCTTTCCTCTTCTGGGAAAGACTCCAATTCGCGTTGACCCACTGCTCTCTCTTCCCGCTGAGCTATTTTTGATGGCACTCAAGAGTTTTAGGTGCCACGAGGACCTTTTATGAGAACAGCTTTCGCTTGACTCCCTTGAAATGTATTTTACTTGGAAAATTGCCAGCCACCTGCAAAATTTGCAAAAGACCCGCCACCAAATCCATGTCCGCAAAAGAGCCGGGATGGAGATCTTCAGATATATTTATTCATGCAGATAAGAAAGAATCGTAGAAGGCAGGATCATCAAGTTTGCAGACGACACCAAATTGGGAGGGAGAGCCAATACTCCAGAGGACCGGAGCAGGATTCAAAACGATCTTGACAGATTGGAGAGATGGGCCAAAACTAACAAAATGAAGTTCAACAGGGACAAATGCAAGATACTACACTTTGGCAGGAAAAACGAAATGCAAAGATACAGAATGGGGATGCCTGGCTCGAGAGCAGTACGTGTGAAAAAGATCTTGGAGTCCTCGTGGACAACAAGTTAAACATGAGCCAACAATGTGATGTAGCGGCAAAAAAAGCCAATGGGATTTTGGCCTGCATCAATAGGAGCATAGTGTCTAGATCTAGGGAAGTCATGCTACCCCTCTATTCCGCTTGGTTAGACCACACCTGGGATATTGTGTCCAATTCTGGGCACCACAATTCAAGAGAGATATTGACAAGCTGGAATGTGTCCAGAGGAGGGCGACTAAAATGATCAAGGGTCTGGAGAACAAGCCCTATGAGGAGCGGCTTAAGGAGTTGGGCATGTTTAGCCTGAAGAAGAGAAGGCTGAGAGGAGATATGATAGCCATGTATAAATATGTGAGAGGAAGCCACAGGAGGAGGAGGGAGCAAGCTTGTTTTCTGCTTCCCTGGAGACTAGGATGCAATGGAGGAATGGCTTCAAACTACAAGAGAGGAGATTCCATCTGAACATGAGGAAGAACTTCCTGACTGTGAGAGCCGTTCAGCAGTGGAACTCTCTGCCCGAGTGTGGTGGAGGCTCCTTCTTTGGAAGCTTTTAAACAGAGGCTGGATGGCCATCTGTCAGGGGTGATTTGAATGCAATATTCCTGCTTCTTGGCAGGGGGA